AAGAAAACAGCCCAGGGATCCTGAAGCCTGGAAAAGCGGTGCTTCTGCTGGGTGGGCCCTATTTCCTCACACGAGGGCTCAAGGTTCAGAAGGCAGGCCCTTGGCTCCCAGAGATAGACACAGGCAGGAAAAGTGCGTTGCTGGGGTCTCGGGTCCCACTCTGCAAACAGGAACATGAGCACTCTGCACTCCTGTGGGGTCCAAGGGCCCAGGAACTTGTGGAAAGCACAAATTTCTGCTTCCACCTTTTGCGGAAGAGCACAGTGGGCAGGTCCATCTCTGCTCCCTGGGCCTCTGACTCCCTGGCAGGGAGGAACTGGGCATTGTTGCCAAAAATAAACGTTCCCTCTCCCGCTCCCTGGCTCCCAGCTCCCGCTCATTAGGATGCGTGGCGTTTGGCTGCGGTCCCACACCTTGCAGCTCATTATAAATATGCAGTCGCTGCTGGCGCTACCCCAATCATCTCTGCAATCAGAGCTTTTAATTAGGTTAATTAAATTGTATCAAATCTCGCAGGGACGCAGTTCACTGATGCTGATGAGGCAGCCAAAACAGACCCCAGCTCCTCCACTAATGAAGGCCGTTGCCTGCCTGAGCCGTGAGGTAGCAGGAGCGCATAATAAACGGGCACGTCCTCTGGGAGGAGCTGCTGCCCAGGCCTTGAGCTCTGGGGACCTGGCAGGGGGTCTGCATCAAGCAGACCAGGCTCCAGCTGCAGCAGGGGCTCCCTCCCCAGGAACCATCCCCTTCACAGGAGAACCAACCAGGGCAGGAGCCTAGACAGGTGGGCGGTGCCGCGCCTGGGCCCTAAGCACCTGCCACTTTTACATGGCCACCTTGCATCCCCCCTAAAGATGCACTAACTCCACCCAGGGTCTCTTTATTTTTCCCCCAGAATGGCCCCCAAAAGTCCAGGACACACACACACTCTCACAGTTAGCCCTGTCACTGCCCCTGTCTTATTAGCCAGAGAGGCCAGACTAGAAAACCCATCTAGCCACTGCCGGCCCAGTCTCCATCTGCCATGGGAGGCCATCTGCCCCTGGCAGGGGGTGGGGGGGACTATAATGCTACCCCCAGACTCCACGTGCCAGATGGAGTATCTTCCCACCCACTGCTCCACCTAAAGAACCCCCTCTGAGAGGGACACTCATCTCAGACCTCCTGGGATCAAATTAGCTAGGGATAGCAGAAATGGTCCCTCCCCATCCTGAGCTGACTATCCCCTGCCTGGGCAATCCATCCCACGACCACAGCTCCAGAGCTAAAGGGTCCTGAAAAGGTTTAAGCAGGAAGGCAGGTGCCACCACGTCCAAAGGGGCTGTCCCTAACGTTCTACTCAGCCTGGCTCCAACCCCCTCCTCTTAACCCCTCAGTCACCAGTCTCAGCACTCTGCACAAATGAGGAGACACGATGGGGAAATTTTCAGTGCTCTCAGGACAAGCTGTTTCTGCTGTAGAAGCTGGTTTTCTAATTTGGAAAGGTTTGGGTTTTTTTTTTTCCACCCAGTAATGTGAAAACATGAAACCCGAAACCAACCCCCTACATTTGTCACCTCTGAGAGAAGCCTTTGGGGTAACTGGGAGAAAGCTGTAAATGAGTCAGGCTGATTCAGGGCAGGGGGGCTGCCCAGCTGCCTCAGGGCACCAGAGTTTCATTAAACATTAACACGATCTGAGCATGGCCTTCAGGTGACAGACAAGGGGAAGAGGAAAGGGCTTCCTTCCCACCCTCTGCTCACCCCCTAACACAGCAGTCCCTGGATAAGTTCCTCTTGCCTAGATAAATAGCTAGGTCCTTGGCTCTGTTCTGGACCAGCCTCTCCTTCCCCCCAACAGAAGGCTCCAGACTACAAAACAGCCCCAGCATCAAGCACTTTGCAGCTCCAACATGAGAGAGGAAATGGCCATTGCCATCAGTAAAGCACACAAAAGATGGACAGGGAGAGCTAGATGTCTGCTTCAGTTAGAAGTACTTGACCCACAGAAAAGCTTCCCAAATGTGATGATGATGAATCTAGGAACAAGGAGATTCTCTACAGGGAATCTGAAGCAGCAGCATTTTTTTTCCTGTGACCAGAGCAGTTTAGGAAAGAACAAGCAGAAGCATGCACTGGGCACCTCCTCCAGACTCCTAGACTTAGGTAGTGGACTTAGCAAAGGAAGCTCTGCCTCCCTGTGTCTCACAGCTTCTCTCTGATCCTTGTCTGCACTTTCCGCTGAGACAGACCTATGGAGACCTGGCTGGCTAAAGAGGGTGTACTCTGTGACCCCTGAGCCAACTGCACAAGCCCAAAAACACTGCCAGCTCAGCCTCCAGGCAGTATGTCAAGTCCACCCCCAATTCTTCCACTCACCTGGGGCTGTAGGCAGGACTCCCACCCAAGACTCGGCCCGCCCTTCCCCAACACCTTGTGCAGGAGGCTCCAGGAACTGGCACGCTGGGAGAGCTTGAGGAGGAAAGGAGCCCAGTACCACACACCCATTTAGCTCATTGTTCAAGTTCCAACAGGCCCCAGCCTCACCGGCCTCCACAGGTAGGCAGAGCCAGTCAGCGTCTGTTGGCTGCCTTCCCTGCTGGAGGACGTGCAGCTCTGATTGTGCAGTGCCCCACAGCCAGCAGCACGACAGGGAAACCCGCAGGGAGACCCTTCCCAAGTCTTGGTGGAACCACCCTCTGGGAAACCTGGGGCTCTACAACACAAACGTCCCTACGTGGCCTTCCCCAGAAAAGGGAAGGGAAACAAAGCCCTTTCTTGCCTAGTCTTACTACCCCTCTTGGGGCCACACTAATCTCAAACTCAGGGGAAGAAAATCTCATTTTTTCATGGGAGCCCCATGGCACTAAATTCGATAAACAAACACATGCTAAGCACCTACTGAGTACAAGGAAGGTTCTGATGGAAGCTAAGTGCGCTAAGTGGGTAGATAAACATACCAGCAAAGGGGCAGCAGCTCCACCTGCTGGGCCCTTTTCCACCCTGACACCAGGACCTAGTTCTGTCTAAATATAGAAAGGCAAAAAATGATTATTTCATTCAAGAATAAAGCTAAGTCTGTTGCCACATCTTTGAGCCCTTCTAACCCAAACCCATCTTGGCTCAAAGCTGTGGCAACAGACTGAAGACTGAGCCGGGCTCACTGATTCTCTGTTGGACAGACCTGAGGGTTCCATGCCATTCACGTAGCAGCCACTCTGGACACCTGATTTGTATTAAGAGACCTACGCCACAGAGTCCTAGCCCACAGAAAAGCTCACCTCCACAGGCTGCACACAGCCCTCTCACTTCTAGAGCAGTGTACCATCATCAGCCCAAACCACCACTCCTTCCCAAGAAGCCAGGAGTCCAAGGTCTCACTAGACTAAATCCCAAAGCTTCAAAGCTTGACCGCTTCTCAGAATCCCTGAGGTTGGAGCCTATCTTTGGTAAATCACAGGGGCAGCCATTTCTTCCAATAGAATCTTAAGGCCTCAGAGATAGCCTACAGTCCAACATTGATTCAGGACACCTAGCCTGGTCCCCTTAAAGTGCTTTGATTACCTCCAGCCTAGAATATACGGAACGCCCAGAGGATGGACTTTTCCGGTCCATTTGACACATCCACCTCCCTCTTCAAGTGTCACTATTTGTACCCTGTACCAGAGTGTGGGGGTACACCTGTACCCGTTCATGAGGCCTGAGTTATACGTGCCTGTGTGTCTGCTAACATGAGAGCCTGTGAAGTGTTTGCACCTTTGTGTGGGTGATGCTTCATGAGAAGGCATTTAGGTACACGCCCTTCCCTCCCCTACCTTCCTACCTGAGACAGAGTCAGAGCTGCCACCCAGCTATGTGATCCCAAGAGCAGATCACTGCTCAGTCTGCTCCCTCCCTCCTCTGTCCAACATCACTGTGATAAGTCCCTTACCTGGCTTGAGACTTAAGTCTTCTAAGACTATCAGCACTAACGGAGCTCAGCATCTCCCCTAGAAGGGAGTGCACACACAGACTGGGAACACTTCCCTCCTGAAGGCAAAAGCTACGAGCTTCTGTTCCCCTAGCTCTTATTCCTGTTTTCCAGGGCTCCCAGGTCTGAATCCCACTGGGTATACCCTGAAGAAACAGACTTCCACTCTAGGTTTGTGCAGGAACCTAATAGTGATGGGTACTTATTACGTATTAACAATATATAATGTTTTAATCTTTAAAATCCATGCACAGCAAGGCCCCCCAGAACCCTGCACCCTGTTTGTTGTGAGCACACTCAGTCCTGTCCTTACTGGCCTAAGATCCCATCACATGGGCAGGGAAGGGAAGGGAAAGCCCCTGGAGTCCATATTCCCAGGGAGAAGGACTGTACCAAGCCATTTATAGCCTTGGAATCATGAACTGGCATGGAATACAGAGGACAGGAACAGAGCCAGGTCTATTCTGACTTGAGCTTCATCAATAAAGAAGAAGTATCTCTGTGTGTTCCTAATTCCAAGAATTTCTATTTGTAGCTATCAAGTATAAGAGAAAAAATTCCTCCTTGGATAACTTACAAAGCCACTTGAATAGCCAATAAAAGAAAAATGAATGAGGGTAAATTCAGTCTGGATAAAACATTATGCAATCATTAAAAATAATATTTATTTTAATTTTTACTGTGAGCATATATTACTTTTAAAAACGTGTGTGATTTAACAAAATGGAAAAGAACTAATGATTTAATTAAAAAGTGAGACATAAAATTGTTTACTATAATTACAACTATAAAATACAAAAACATAAACAAAAACTGATGCATAGCTTTACAAAACAGAGGAAATAAACCAGAATGCTCACAATAATTGTTCACCTCCATAGCTCTAGCTCCTAGCACAGTTAAATATGCAATAAAAAATGTATTGTTCTTGAATAAGCATTGGGATTAGGAATGGATTAATCTATTTTCCAAATTCACTATGGGATTCTGTAACTTTCATAATAAAAAAAAAAATTACGTATATAAAAATAAGACTGATTTCACAAACCAGAAACAGTACCAGAAGGGAAGAGGATATAATGTTGTTCATAAAAAGATATCAAATGCTAGACTGACGATAAATTATGGTTACAAACAGGAAAACTATTTGGACTAAAGGGATTTAAGTTACTAGGAAAACAATTATTTTTGATTCAGAAAGACAAGGCTTATCTATAATATGTCAACGTTTGCGACGACTCTGAAATTTGTAAATAGCTGGGGAGTTCACTGTTTCTTTCTTCACCTTCACCTTCTGAGTTTTATCCTACGAAAGAGTAAAAAGATGATCAGTAAACAGTAGAAGAGAGTTTTGTAAAACAGAAAGGTTACTAAGCCCCCAATTCAGCCCAGCCCTTCTCAAAGTTCAGAAGAGACAGCCCTGCTGCCCTAGGCATCCAAGGTATTCAATGAATTAACATCTCTCCTAAGCATCTACAATGGTACTAGCTATGTCTAATTCTTGGGGAAATTGAGAAGAAAGGTACTCCAATAGCTGTTTTATTTAAAATTATATAATTTTAATTCTCTCACGGAACCCCAGTAAAGAAAGGCTGACCTAAATGATCTGCAAAGCTAAAGAATTTGACATTTAGAGAAATGATAATAATATGAAAGAGGCATCTTATATTCCTTAGCTCTGCTATTTAACTACACAATGTTGTCTATTTTTAAACACCAATGAGTGACATGCACTGTTTTGTTAACCTGTTTAAATGTTACCGGAGCTGCTCATAAGCTATAAAGTTCATATGCTATCCGATCTTACCCTTTGCTGTTCCAAAGCACTGACTAATAACCCCCTTATTACCTTCTTAATCAAGGAACATTTCAACACTGTCAGAGTAACAGACACTGGCCCAAACCACTGCCCCTGAGGAGCAGACATTTTCACTGGGGTTGATTTACACACAGCTGAAATCCAGTCTCAGTTAAGACCTTTACAAGAAAGGAAGGTGGGGAGAAGAAGGCCTAAGGCTCGCTCTCACCAGAAGATCTTTGCGTGTTTGAATTTTCTGTGCAATAACGAACAATTTCTTCTCTCGCTCAATCCGCTGTGTCAGGCAGTTATATTGCTTTTCCCTTTCTTTAGCTATTCGCTGCAGAAGAAACCCAGATATTTTCAGTAAAATAATTAAAAAGACAATAATGAATAAGGAACTATTTTTTAATCCACTTAAGCCCAAACGCATAAATGGTTTCATCGAATCTCTTCTTCAAAAACAACATGATCAATATAAAGCTGTCCATATTTAGAACACTGCATTCTAGAGCTGAAAGGAACTTTGGTAACTGTTTTATCAAAACCTGTCATTTTACAAATGCAGAAAAATGAGGCTCAGAGAAGAAAAACAACAGGCCCAAGGACACACATCTCATTTGGAACGGAGTCAAGACTGTCCCTGTGTCTCAGGGATCCCAGCAATCTTTCCACTACTACACTAAGCTGCTTCAACCTTTCTGAGAGACACTGTCACCTGAGATGATGGCAGGAATGAACCAGTACTGGAAAGCCTACATAAATGGAAGACAGAACAACAGAAAAGTCCCCAGGCAGTGTGCTGCTGCCTGAGAATATCTTAGAGCTCAGAGAGAAGGGTATTTTTCAGCTGAAGCTGACTTATGAATTCTCACTGATAACTGGTGCCTCAAAGGCCAGTGAAGTCCTTAAGTTTTTGGAGAATCATAATAAATCTCTGAGAAACTAGTGAAAGCTTTGGGTTCTTTCTTTTTTATTTATCTATTTATTTTTACTTTTTTGAGACCCTGGGTAGAGTGCCATGTTGTCACAGCAAACAGCAACCTCAAACTCTTAGGCTTAAGCAATTCTCTTGCCTCAGCCTCCCAAGTAGCTGGGACTACAGGCACCCGCCACAATGCCTGGCTATTTTTTGGTT